GCTGAGGCAGGCACCAGCGGGGGCGGCGCAGCGGGGTGCGGGGCCGCGTGAGGAGGCCTTGCGGGCCAGACGGCGAGGACCCGACTCACACAGAAACGACGCGAGCTGAACTGCCTCGGGTCCGGGCAACCTCGGGTCCGGAAACTGAGCTCCTGGCGACCAGGGCTGTTTCTGGGCTGGCTTTCGGCCTGTCTTCATCAGAAGCGGGGCGTTTCCCTCCCGGCTGCTCTTGGTGTTTCAGCCTCCTCCTCCATCCCCCTTGCTGGCAGGCCTGGTCATTTCTTCAAAGGCGCTGCCCCAGGGGGTGTCCGGCCGCGCCTAGCTCTGGGCCACTCCAGTCCCGAGGCCAACCGAGGTCACTGACCCCTGAGCAGCCCCCTGGTCCTGTGCTGCACTGTGGGGTCCTGACTCTGCACGTCTGTGGGGTGTCTCCCGAGTGGTGCCGGCTAGGGTCTGCAAACTCGGAAGTCTGCCCCCCCACCCCCAGGACAGGAGACGCGCCCAGCAGCTGAAGCCAGACCCGCAGCTCCTCCGAGACTGACGGTCCCAGCTGGGCCGCCACTGCTTTCTCTGATGTGTTGTTTCCTCCTTTGGAGAAAAATCTAAATTTACTGAGAAAAATATGTTTCAGTGCCTCCCGAGCACGGCGGGGGAGGCCCGTGGGCAGCCGGGCACAGCTTCTGGTCCACAGGCCGGCTGGGGAGCTGTGTGAACACACTCGGAGCCCAGGCGCAGCTGCCCGCCGTGGCCTCGCGAAAGCAAGGCTGCGGTTCTGGCCCACACGACCGACCGGCCACCCGAGTGGGTGGACCCTACACGTAACCACAGCCCCCTACTCACCCCCAGCCAGTGGACTGGGGCCAGCCCCACCATCCCTACTGGGAGCCTTCCTCCCTCCCCTGCATGGGCGCCCCCGGAAGGGGCTTCCTTGCTGAAGTGTGGGACGCAGCCCCAGGGTCACCTCTTGGGACCGGCCCTCCCTGACCCCTCCGGCCAGAGCGCCCTCCGGGACGCCTGGTCCTGCAACGGCGATGCCCAGAGCCCAGGTTGATGATGAGCCCACAGGTCTGCAGGCGCTTTGAGATGGGCCGGCTGCAGGCGAGCACTTCCCGCTGAGGGCTGTTCCCATTTTGCACGTAGGGAAACTGAGGCTTAGCAGGGGAAGCAGTTCTCACTCCCAGCAGAGGTCTGGCTGACTCCAAGGCCAGGCCTTGGACACCCTGCAGCTCCTCGGCCCGTGGTGGACGCCAGGCCCTTGCCGCCCGCCAGCCACCCGGGCTGACCCTGCTGAAGAAACGGCCAGAGTTCACCCTGGAACACCGAGGGTCTTGCCCTTCGCTGGGAACCCCCTCGGGAGTGGGCTCAGGGGCTGAAGGGCGCTTGCCGTGTTCACCACCGGTGCCGGGGCCCAGCCCAGCAGCTCCCGGTAAACCTCTGGGGAGCGAAAGGGTGGGTGAGTGGCTGAGTGAGTGGGTGAGGGAATGAATGAATGAATGAATGAGTGAGTGAAGAAATAGCCTGTGCCCCTGTCAGCTCTGCACTACCCAGCAAGGACTTAAATGAGATAAGAGTAAAAATCACACTGATCAAAAAAAGACAACCTTACTGATGTGGCAAATAATTTGACATTAAAATGAGGACAAACAGCCTGGAAACTTAAAATTCCAGATGACTAACCGCCGACGAACAGAGAAAGAGGGGGTGGGTGTGGTGGTGGCGGCGAGTGGTGCTCAGCCGGCACAGATCAGCTGTATCCAGGCCCCGCCCCCTGCCCCCTCACGCCCGCTGTGCGTCAGCGGCTGACCGGCCACTTGCCCCCCCAGACTCCTTGTCCTCCAGAGATGATGACAAAGATGCCATCTGCCCAGGGGACCTGATTTCCGTGCGTGGCCCCTCTGGTGTTGCGTTTGGGGCCGGGTGTTGCGTCTTCTCCAGCACCCCTCCAAATTGGCTTTGCAGTGGTTGTTGCCGTTTATTGTTGCATTTGTTTAGAACTCATGAGCTACAATGCCCTGACATTTTTTCGTAAGACACTTAAATTTAGCAGCAGGAAAGTGACTTCATTTCCGCATCAGCAACACAGAAGCTTCCAGAAAACCTGCTGCCCATCGCAGCCTCAGTCTGGCCAGGCAGGGCTGGAGGCAGTGAGGCCTGGGGCGGTGGGTGGGCCGCTGGCATGGGTGCTGGCAGAGCTGGGGGTGGACGGGAGCTCCACGCCGGGGCCGCGCCTCTGCCGCCAGCACGGCCAGTGTGCTGTGCCATCCATCCGTGGCTTCCTGCCTGTCGGGAGGCCAAGCAGCTGTGACCCAGGGACAATCACAGGGAGGCCAGGACCCATCCCGCGCCTCATCTCACTGTCACTGTCCTGTATCAGCTACAGACACTGGGGACCTGGGGGCGGGGGTGGGGGCAGCTCTCACTGCTGCTAGTGGCCCAGCGTCTGTGATTGGAAGCCACCCCTGGACTTTCTCACTGTTGCTGGTCCTTCCCTGCTACTGAGCACCCCCGCTTACCAAGAGGTCACTTGCTGTAAAGTGCCTTGCCACGTCGGCTGTGTGCCAGCTTTGCTTGGACACCGCAGAGTGGCTGCTGGGCGGGCCCCGGGTCTCACAGGCAGGGCTGGTGGTGCAGAGCCCAGGGGGACCCCGGGTGAATCCCCGCTCTTCCACCAGCCAGCAGTCCACCCTCGGGACAGTGCTGAACCTCTGCACCTGAGAGCTTCCTGGGTCCTTGCAGGGACCCGTGAGGATTAAAGGAGACGGAGCCCAGTGTGTTGGGGAACACACTCATCGCTCCCTCCCCCCTCCTCCCTCCCGTCTCCCCTCGTCCACCCCCGCCCACAGCTGCAGATGGCCTTTGCCCTCCCAGACCCCGTTCGGGATGCAAGTGCGGCCCCTCTGGTGCTGACTGTCCAGTCCTGTCCACACCAGGGGCCGGGCCTGTCACCCTCAGCGGCTGGCCTCTGGCACCAGCACCGTGTTCCGTATTTGGGACACTTGGTTGTCTGCAGTTTTAACCACTGTAACCCATGAGAGTGTCCTGCAGAAGGGCGTGGCCCCGGGGCCTTCCCCGCAGAGGGCAACTCTCCCGCCCCCCCGCACCATGCCTGCGGCACCGCCACTGGCTTTTCTTTACCTCGAAGGCCCTCCCTCAGCCTTTTCGCACGTCTGTCTAAGAGCCGGTGGGCACCCTGGGTGGGGGGTGCGAGTCCTCCGGGGTCCCCACTGTCTCCTCTCGTCCCTCTGCCGGCCCGTGGCGCAGGCCATGTTCGAGCTGGTCACCTCCGAGGCGTCCTACTACAAGAGCCTGAGCCTGCTGGTGTCCCACTTCATGGAGAACGAGCGGCTGAAGAAGATCCTGCACCCGTCCGAGGCCCACATCCTCTTCTCCAACGTCCTGGACGTCATGGCCGTCAGCGAGCGGTGAGCCCCCTCCCCCCTCCCCCCGCCCCCGCCCCCGCCCCTGCCCCTCCGGCCCGTGTCCCGCGGAACCGGCTTCCCGCCCCTTCTCGCCTAGGGCACGGCTGCAGCAGGGGCACGTGATCAAGACACGGCGTCTCTCCTTCCGCGGGTTGGGGGCTTTCTGTGACAAGATGGGAATGGACGCGGGAACCCAAGGACCCGCCTCCCTCCCGGCAGGGCGGCCGGCCACGCCCCTAGAACAGGACTGTGACCCCGGGCCCCTTCCCGGGAGCACGGGTGTCCCTGGGTCCCACACAGTCAGGTGGGCGTGCGGCTGGTGTCGTGGCAGGTCCAGGGGCGTCTATGTAAGCGCCTTCTCCCCTCCGGCCGGGCGGCGCCTGCCCGTGTGGGGTAGTGGCTCTCGGGACTGCGCCTCCGTCTGCGCCCATAGGGAGGAAGGGGCACGCCTCGTGGGGGAGGAGCCGACATCTATTCAGGAAGAAGAAGTGAACTCCAGCCCTGGCTGGCATAGCTCAGTGGATTGAGCGTGGGCTGCGAACCCAAGTGTCGCAGGTTCGATTCCCAGTTAGGGCACATGCCTGGGTTGCAGGCCATGACCCCCAGCAACCGCACGTTCATGTTTCTCTCTCTCTTTCTCCCTCCCTTCCCTCTCTAAAAATAAATAAATAAAATCTAAAAAGAAGAAGAGGTGAACTCCAACCCTATCATTAGGGCAAAAGCTCCACTTACCAGCTAACAGCGCAAAACTCAGCTCTGGGAGCCTCTGGCCCAACCCCGAGGGTTCCGAGGTGAAGCCCGGTGCTGGCTCGCCTGGCCCCCGCTGCACAGGCCCGCCCCCCCCCCCCCACGCTGACACCTCGCCTCTCTGCTGTGGGGTCGGCAGGCCCAGAGCTCTGAGACCCCCTCAGCCTCTGCCGCCGCACCCTCTCTGGGAGGAGAGGGTCTTTGTAGTTAAGCACCCATTTATGTCTTCTTAGGAAACATCCCCAACACACAGACTAGAGGCCCCAGGGCGACGGGGAGCCCACGCTTCAGTGTCTGGGTTCAGCCACGTCCCCACCCCTCCCGACACCCACCAGAGCCGTCTGAAGCAAATCCTCGTCATTTCATTTCATCTGTGAACCCATCAGTGTGCACCTAAAAGATAAAGTCTCTCTCTGGATTTTAAAAATAGTCCTAGTGCCATTTCCACCTAAAAAAACAAATAGGAATTCCTTTTCTTTTTAAAAAAAGATTTTATTTATTTTTAGAGGGAGGAAAAGGGAAGGGGGGGAGAGAGAGAAAGGGAAAGAAGCATCAATGTGTGGTCGCCTCTCACACGCCCCCTACTGGGGACCTGGCCTACAACCCAGACACGTGCCCTGACTGGGAATCGAACTGGTGACTTTTTGGTTCAGAGGCCTGCGCTCAATCCACTGAGCCACACCAGCCAGGGCCCAGACAGGAATTCCCGGATGTGACCAGATGCAGCACTGGCACCGCGGGCTGGTCCCCCGGTGTCCGTTGGTCTGTCCCAGGGAGACCCCGCCGGGGGAGCTGTGTCTTGAGGCTCCCGGCCACTGCCTCCTGCAGGTTCCTCCTGGAGCTGGAGCGCCGGATGGAGGAGAACGTCGTCATCTCGGACGTGTGTGACATCGTGTACCACTACGCGGCCAACCACTTCTCGGTCTACATCACCTACGTCAGCAACCAGACCTACCAGGAGAGGACCTACAAGCAGCTGCTGTGAGTGCACTGGGCACCACGGCGCCCGAGGGACCTCTGTCCTGAACGGCCGTGCAGACTCTGCGGGTTAGAGAAGGGAGTCTGAGGCCCAGAGGACAGCTCGAGGCCCGAGAGGGCAGGAAAGGGACTTGAACCAGAGACAAAACAAGGGTGGGCGGGACGAGGTCTCTTTGGTGGCTACCCAGCCGCACCCTTGACGTTCTGGCTAATCTGCCCTTTCAGTGAACTTGCTGGGGGTTCTAGCGGCCGAGACAGTTTTTCAGTCAGCTTGCCTCCCTGGTCCCCTCTGCATTTCTGTGCTGGCCGTGACGACAGCGCAGCCTGTGACGTGTTCTCGGCTGGGCAGGGGAGCCTGCGGGAACTTTCCGAGTGCTGGCACGCGGCCGTCACACTGACCCACTGGGCCGTGCCATCCAACCGTGTCATCCGCTGTGACGTTTTAAAGCTGGAGTACGGCGGGGGTAGGGGACACGCCTTTTGATCTGGGGTTCAGAACTGGAATGGGAGGGGCCGGGAGGCCAGTTTTGAGGGCAGACACGGAGAAGACGAGCGCACAGGAGAACAGTCTGTCACGGCGCCCGTGGGGACACTGGTGTGGACGACAGTGCAGACCGCCCTGGGCCCGAGGACGAGGCAGGGTGCCCGTGTCCCCGCCTGTGCTGGGGCCTGCCTCTAATGCCAGCGGCAGTTTTCCGGAGCCCTGGCAGCCGTGCCCCCGACCCACTGCCCAGCTGCCTGCAGACGCGGGGCCCCTACCTGGCAGGAAGGGCGCAGGTTCCCGGCGGGTGGCTCCAGCTGCCGCCTGCTCCCGTCACTCCTGGGCTCACCTCCCCGCGGTTCCTGCCGGGTAAACCACCGGGCTGTGTGTCTGATTCGCAGACTTGGCTGCATGAGGCCGGCCAGCCAGCCTGCGTGCCCCACGCAGTGTTTGGCTAAGTCATCAGGGGCCTGGTATGTGAAGCCACTATTGAACAGTTTGCTTTCCATTCAAACAAGTCAATGGACATGCATTACGTGTCCGTGGGCCGCCTGGTTCCTGCCAGGCTGTGGGTGGGCAGGAAGCGCCACCAACCCGCGCCTCCCGAGAGCCAGACGCCTGCTCACTCCCTTGTCCTTGTCCCCAGGCAGGAGAAGGCGGCCTTTCGGGAGCTGATCTCGCAGCTGGAGCTCGACCCCAAGTGCCGGGGGCTGCCCCTCTCCTCCTTCCTCATCCTGCCTTTCCAGAGGATCACGCGCCTCAAGCTGCTGGTGCAGGTATGGCCTCCTGCCCCCTCGACCCCCCCCCCCAACGGGCAGACTGTGCCCCTGCTGCAGAACCGTTCCCTTCGGGCACCCAGGTCTCTGCCGGCCTCTAGGAAGTCGGTCTGCTCCTCAAATCCCAGTGGAACCCCTACTGGGTGCCAAGCAGTGGGGGACTCCCTTCTCCCAGGGACCCCCGTCCTTGGCCGAGGAGAGACCCACACACACACGCAACCAGGAAGTGGCCGTGGCTGTGAGGACAGTGAAACTGGGGCATGTGATGGGGGTGCTTGCCCAGCCACTGCCAGTGGGGGGTCCAGAAAGAGTCTCGGACGAGTGACATTTCAGCTGAGACCTGGCTGACGGGCAGGAGCCATTCAGGTGATGGAGCAGCTCGAGCAAAGGCCCTGGGGCACTGGGTGCACAGGCAGGAAGGCCAGTGGTGAGCTGGGGGAAGTGACGGGCGTGAGTGTGGGGATGTGGACAGAGGCCACTCGGGGCCCTAAGGGGCCAGGTACGACATCGAGTGCTCTCCTCGGTGACCACAGAGGCCACCATGTGCAGAGCACTGGGCAGGAAGACAAGAGGGAAAATGGGAGAAAGAAAGGGTTGGCAATGACTCAAGAAAGTAAGATGGCATGGAGGAGATCCTGAAGGGAAGCCAGTGAGCTGAGCCTTGAACTTGCTACTGTGGAGTAAGAAGGAAGAAAAGAATCTCCTGGGTTGAGCAGCTTCCCGAGGCAGGGAGACAGGGTGGGGAGCAGCCCAGGTTCGGTGGTGAACTAGCCAAGTCTGAGAGGGCTGAGCAGTTGAACATCCGAGTTCAGAGTGGAAGGGAGGAGTAGGGGCCTCAGCTGTCAGCACTGAGATGCCGTTCAATAGTGAGACCAGCAAGGAAGGACAGAAAAGGGTCCAGAAACCCAGCGCTGGGACTCTCCATGCCCAAGAAGGGCCAGAGAGGAGACTAGTGTGAGGGTCATGTGCGCCCGGCTGAGGAAGTTTCAAATGACAGTCCCAGAGGAGGGGGACTCGAAGCCCCTGGCGTCTTCCCATGTGCGGAGCTCCCCTTGCATCTCCATCCGCGCTCCCGCCCCTCACCGCAGGACCCCGCCCTCCGCGCTGACACCTGGTCACTTCCTTTGCTTTGCTGGCCGTGGTACAGTGAGGTGTCCGCTCTGGGCTGGCCCTCAGGGTTAGTCCTCATGGGACACCGACTCGGGGTTGCCAGTTCAGGGCCGGGCCAGGATGCTCAGCCCTCGGCCTGGCGGAGGGTTCTCCGGCTCCCTGTCGTCACCTAGTAGGGCTGTGCGTGGGTGTTGCAGCACCAAGAGGCTGTTTGGACAGCTGCGAGGAGGAGGCCGCCCTTGCGAGGTGGGGGGCGGGGAGGGGCTGGACGGCCGCTGCGAAGGTTAATGCGCCCCCGCCTGTGCGCAGAACATCCTGAAGAGAGTGGAGGAGAGGTCGGAGCGGGAGTGCACCGCCTTGGACGCCCACAAGGAGCTGGAACTGGTGAGTGGGCTTCCTCCCCCGTGTCTCCCCATCGACTCTCCCCGCCTCTAGACCTGCCTTCCGGGTCCTGCTCCCTCGCAGGTGGGCGTGTCTTTGGAAAATACAGATTAATTTTAGCATTTGCTTTCGCAATCCAGGGAAGTCGCAGGGTGTAACAGTAGGTCAGGTGCGGCCGGAACAGAGCGGCGGGTCTTCCTTGTCCACCCCGGGGCCGTGCCGGGTGGACCCCGCAGCAGCCCAGCCCGCTTCACCTGCTGACCTCTGCTGCCCCCTGGAGGCCCAGCGTGTCTCAGCAGCTGCCCCCTGCGGACGTCTGGGCCCTCCGAGGCCCCTCCCGAGTCCTTGCCCGTTTCCGGCGTCTTACCTCCGGTGACTGTCAGAGGCTGGCCTGGCTCTCTCTCTGAGCCCGGTGTAGCCCCGCCCCGAGCCCGTGCGTCCACAGCGTCCCTGTCCCTGGAGCTGCAGCGGCCCACTCTGCGAGAGGACGCAGGGGCCCTGCCAAGCGCTGGGCGTAGAGAAACCCCAGCTCTGCTCCTGACCCGGAATTTGCCGGCAGAGTCTGGTGCGGGAGGGGTCGACGAGTGCGTGCTTTCTCGCGGGCGGGCTCACGTGGCTCCTCCTGGTCTCAAGTGCTGCCTCGTGCGTCAGCGGCAGCTGTGAGCCAGTTCTTGGCAGCTGGGGTGTGGGGCACGCTGACATGCTGGGGATCCCACAGAGGATGGACATGAGTCCTGAGAAGTCCTTCCCACTCCTTGTACCAGAGACAGCAGCTCAGTGAAAGCACGAGCCTCCCTCCGTGGGCGGCTGGTGGTGGTTCTGAGCGGAGGAGCCACCAGGACTTCTGAACTTAATGCGACAGTGGCCCCTGACCTCTCCTCCTGTCCCCTACTCGGACCAGTCGGCCATCACACCCTTCGCTGGTTGTGGAAAACAGCACTCCCGTCCCGGGCTTCTGGGGGAGAGGCTGCAGCCCTCGGCGGGCTGGTCGGGGAGGGTCAGGATGTGTGGGCCAAGTAGCAGCTCTCAGGGCCCTCCGCGCACCCCTAGAACGCCCATACCTGCTCAGGTGGGAGTTCATGACAGCCCCCACCGGGCAGCCGACCACCCTGGGTCACACACAGAGGTGAGTCCAGTGACCACCGAGGCCTGAGAGAGGCCTGAGTGCCCCAGGGGACGGTCCCCTGCGGCCAGAAAGTGTTGTCTGTGGCTTCAGGTATTTTCTTCTGTCCTCTCCCTTTCTTGCCCATGTACTGAAAGGCATGCTCCTATTTCTCACAGACGACTTCCTTTTACAGAGGTTTTATTTTCTAATTTATAAAAGCAGCTGCTTCTCATTGCAAAAATTTCCAGACAGTGCTTGTAAGCCAGAAAGAAGAAGGTAGAGACCACGCCAGTCCCCCACCCACTGCGCTGAGCCGGCACCCACCCCTCCAGGCCTCCTTCCGGGCCAGGGCGCGCTGCTGCGGTCCCGTTCTCTGCAAAAGAGGTGGCGGCTCCTCATAACCGGCTCTGTGCTCCGGTTTAGAGCGTGTGAAGTCTAGAGCATGTTAACAATTTTTAGGATTTCGGAGTACTTCCTGACGTGGCTCTGTTAGTGCTCGTCAGTGCCAGCTGACGGACACTGAGGTCGATGACAGTTTTCTCGTCCGCTGCAGGGACCGTCCCAGCTCACGCGTCTTTGGGCGCCGTCCTCACGCACACACACTGGGTGCCCGCTGGGGCTGCTGGGCTCTGTCTGTCCCAGGCGCCTGTGACCCGGTGTGGAATATCGTTTCTTCGTAAGGAGTCCCCAGAAGTCCCCAGAGACTCGGTTTTATTAGGCCTCTGGGTACCTGAGCTGCCCCCCAGGAAGGTGGGGGGACCCTGGCTCCCCCTCAGTGTGTGGCAGAGCTCGGTCCCCCCACGTCACCTGCCTTTTCCAGTCTGACGGACCACTAAGCATATCTTATTGCTTAAACTCGCTTCCTAGCAGCCTGACGAGTCCCCCCGCTCGGCCTTTGTTCCGGAAGGGGCTAGAGAAGGGCGCCCCAGCGCGCACGAGGCGGGCCGGGCGGCCTCGGCCGTGGGCAGGGGGCAGTGCCCGGGGCCAGCCGGCTGCAGGTGGCCTGACGCGTCCCCCCCCTCGCCCCAGGTGGTGAAAGCGTGCAACGAGGGCGTGCGGAAGATGAGCCGCACGGAGCAGATGATCAGCATTCAGAAGAAGATGGAGTTTAAGATCAAGGTGAGCCTGCCCCCACCTGCGTGTCCCCGGCCCAGCCCGCTGGCCCCGTTGGTCACCGGCCAGGCACCCTTGAGTCTCAGTGCAGTGTCACCTCGCCCCGAGGCCGTCCCTGACCCCCAGGCAGGGGGCACCCCTCTGCCCTGTGGCTGGCAGACCACCGCCTGGGCCTGGGCTCCTTCCGAGAGGCGGGTGCGGCCCCCGCAGCCACCCCCCCTTGGGAGCGGGCAGCAGCAAGTTTGCAGGAAACGCCTGACAGGGACCGGCCCGGGGTTCTCAGAGCCGGGGTCCGAGATCCTGACAGAAGTCACCACCCTCCTCCCGCAACCTCACGTGAAGCTTCGGGCTTCAGTGAGCCCGAGAGCCTGGGTTTCCGGCGACGTGGACACGTGGACCCACAGTGCCCTCCAAGGTCACCAGGGTCGTGCTGGGTCGGGGAGTGAGCCCCAGTCGTGGATGCAGATGTGGCCTGTGCGTCACGGCGCTCCACCTGCCAGGATGACGGCCCTGAGCCACGCAGTGGGGGCCTCGCACAGCCTGCCGTCCCCACTCCCTGGGACCCCAGCCCCTCTGGGTCTGCATCACACGGGGGTGCAGACACACACACACACACACACACACACACACACAGGTACCCACTTGAACACATAGTTACATGTGGACACATTGTACACAGGGACACATGCTATGCACAGGGACACACTTAGACACATATTACATAGAAGCACACATGGATACACACGCAACAGGTGATACAGGGCTGCACCCAGGCACGCACACAGCTGCACTCACTCACAGCTGCACTCACACTCACAGCTGCACTCACTCACAGCTGCACTCACACAGCTGCACGCACAGCTGCACTCACAGCTGCACTCACAGCTGCACTCACACAGCTGCACGCACAGCTGCACTCACAGCTGCACTCACACACACACACACACACCCGCCCTCAGCGCTGTGTGCACCCCGGGCCCAGTGTAGCCCTCGCAGGCCCAGTGCCTGCTGCTCACCACCCCCGCGAGGGCCCAGGGGAGCCTCGGGGAGCGGCGACGGGGCCGGCCACTCTGACGCACACCCCCCGCCCCCCCCGCGCAGTCGGTGCCCATCATCTCGCACTCCCGCTGGCTGCTGAAGCAAGGTGAGCTGCAGCAGATGTCAGGCCCCAAGACCTCCCGCACCCTGAGGACCAAGAAACTCTTCCAGGAGATTTACCTCTTCCTCTTCAACGACCTGCTGGTGATCTGCCGGCAGATCCCGGGGTGAGCGCGGGGTGGGGGTTGGGGGGGTGGTGTGCTGCTGGGGGCGCCGCCCTGGGGGCCGGGCTCCCCCGGGGGCTGGCGGGATGGCTGGGTGGAGCTCCAGCTGTCAGTCAGGTCTGACGTCAGCTCTGTTCTTGCCCGGCCTGGGGCCTTTGGTCAAGTTCGCTTAAACCCCTGGGCTCAGTTTCCCCTCCTGTCCAGTGGGGCTTTTGTAGGGATGTGGAGAGGCCTGCTCAGCACCTGACACATGGTGAGCGCTCAGCAGAGCGGCCACACCGGGGGAGGGGCGGTCTCAGGATGGGGACAGGGATCCCGGGAGTGGCAGTGGTGGGGCTGGTCTTGCCGCCGGCCAGGGCGAGGCCCCCTGGGACCCCAGCGCTTCCTCAGGACCGATGTGCCCCCCGCCCCCCGGTCCCCAGAGACAAGTACCAGGTGTTTGACTCGGCGCCGCGGGGCCTGCTCCGCGTGGAGGAGCTGGAGGACCAGGGCCAGACGCTGGCCAACGTGTTCATCCTGCGGCTGCTTGAGAACTCGGACGACCGCGAGGCCACCTACATGCTGAAGGCGTCCTCACAGTGAGTGCCCGTGCGCTCCCGCCGCGCTCCTGTTCTCCCCCTCCCCCCCATCGGTGTCGGGGTGCAGCACGTTGCCCTGTGTGTGCGTGTGTGAGTGTGTGTGTGTGTGCACACGTACTCCCTTGGGGCCTCAGACACTGGGCAGGCCCTCCTTCCCCATGGAATGCTGTAGGACCCTGGGCCCGGGCTGACCCGTGAGCCACCATCTCTGAGCAGCCAGGGACCTGCCCTGCAGCCGAGATCAGAGTTGGAGACGCTGGCTCCTCCCCCAGAGCCCCAGGGCCCGCCCTGCCCATCTAGGCTCCGCCCCCACAGCCCGGGCGGGGATGTGGCTTCTGGGCAGCAGGCACCAGCAAGCCTCTTTGTGGGCGGCTGTGGGGCGTGGCAGAGCGCTCGCCGTCCTCCGCTGACGTTTTAAAGCGCACCGGGGAGACTCCGCAGGGCTCCCCGGCCTGTCGGCCGAGTTCTGGGCACCCCGTCCTGCGGCAGCCCTGGGCGAGGCTCAGGACCGAGCAGCCAGCGGGCTGAGCACTGGGCACTGGGCACTGTCCCTCGGGGGCGGGGGGGCATGGCTCTGCAGCTGGGGCATGCGTCCTCTCCCCTGTCCCAGGAGTGAGATGAAGCGCTGGATGACCTCGCTGGCCCCCAACCGGAGAACCAAGTTTGTTTCCTTCACGTCCCGGCTGCTGGGTAAGTGGCCCTCCGGGATGAGGACCTCTCTGGGCAGGACAGGTGAGGCCTCCCTCACCTGTCAGCCTCAGGTGCTTCCCGAGCCCATCTTTCCCGAGGCCCGAGTGGCCTCCGGGATACCCGCGTCAACTGCCAGGGGCCCCAGCTGCCAGCTGCTAGCTTAGTGCCTGGCAGAGGCGCTTGGCGTGCTGAGCCCGGCCAGCGCTCGGGTGGGTACTGAAGGAGTGAGCCCCTGGGTCCGAGCGACAGGCACTGCAAGGAAACCGGCTCCTCGGAGCCTGGGCCCAGAAGGCGGACGCAGTGTTCTTTGGGGTCCCTGGGTGTCTGAAAACCTCACAAAACACGGAAGGGCGCTAGCGTCCAGCTGCCTGTCGGGAAGCTGCCGTGTCTGGCCCCTCGCTGCGCCCCGGGCACACCACTCTTCCTCCCGGGGCCCGGTGCGCGTTCGAGGAGTCCCTTGGGAAGCCTCAAACAAGAGCCCGCGTGCCTGCCCGTCCCTTTAACATGTCGTGTTTTCTCCGGGTCCCCGGCCAGCGCAGCCTCATTTTCTCTGGAGCTGAGGCCCCTCCTTCAAATGACTTATTTTCAGTTGCTGCAAGACAGGCAGTGTCCAGGGGTTGCTGGGTAGGGGGCAGGGCGGTGACACGGTGACGCCTGACCGGCGATAAGGACGGGCCGCCCCCCTCCCCTCCCTCCAGACTGCCCCCAGGTCCAGTGCGTGCACCCGTACGTGGCCCAGCAGCCCGATGAGCTGACGCTGGAGCTGGCCGACATCCTTAACATCCTGGACAAGACGGAGGACGGTAAGGCGGGGGCCG